ACTATTTAATGCAATATTCTAAAAAAAATAAAACTTAATGAACAAAATCAATGATGGACAAAATATCAGAATATTAAACAAAGAAAGGATATAACCACACACTTGCACAAACTTGGTCTCATCCTAATCCCATCCCTGTCACATTCTGATGTCAACTTTATTGTTTCCTGAACTCATTGGGGGAAAAAATTACCATACCTACTGTACAGTTCCCTCTCCTGGGCTGTTCCTTCAAGGACAAGAGGGCTATCAAACATCTAGATATAATAATGCTGGCACTGTTAAAATTACAAAAATAAAGCTCCTTTAGTTTGCAAATAGGATCTCTTCTAGACTACGTTATCAATGCCAAGTTTATTACATGCATTTATGCATTAAAGGAAAATATCTTTAAAAGTGGAAAAGCTATGGAAAAGCAATGTTACTCTAGTAGTTATATGTGCATGCAGGGCATCTCTACCATCTACTAAAGCTACTTCCTCCCGCCCCCCGCCACACGCACATATACAAACATACATAGACACACAAACACTTAGTGCAGCCCTGGAGTTCTAAAATTGGGCCAGGCATTACCAGTCATGTATCATGAAAGATTTTTATTGCTTTTTCATGACTCTGCTGATAAATTGGAAGCAATGGTCTTTTTGAGGCATTCCAGATGAATCCAAGAAAGACCTAAGTATTTATCCTTGGGAGATGGCTTTAAAGTCTATACTAATAAAATATTTGTGAAGTAACATAAGAAAGGAGTATTGAATACTGACACATGGGGGTCTCTGAGCCTGTTACAAAACACACATCTCTGTGTTTTGAAAAGGTTGTTAGGAATTTCTGATCTTTCTGATCTTTCTACCAAGCATATTTTTATGTCAAGTGAGAGGTTTTAAAGTATAGCTTATCAGCTCACCTTCTCATTCTCTTCTTTAGAACTTAACCTTGGCATTGCTACTAGCCAAAAATATTCCTTTGAAAGTTCAGTTTTTATGTATGTCTGTATTAGCCAAATTGGAAAATGACTAAATGAAGCTATAAAGTCAGCTACATTATCTTTGAGTATTCATCTCATGGCTGCAAACTGGCTGCTTCAACTCAAGGCTTACTCACCAGTACATACACTGGTTATGAAAAAGGAACATGGGCAAAAGACCTAAGAACATGCCACCTCAGACTAACCCTCTAAGAAATACTTGCCTTAATTATACCAAAATTGAAAGCTTTTTCACAGTAAAAAAAAAAAAAAGCATCAGCAAAATAAAAAGGCAACCTACTAAATGGGAGATGATAGTTGCAAATGACATACCCAATAATCAAAATATATAAAGAACTTCTACAACTCAACACTAAAAAGCAAATAATCCAATTTAATGGACAGAGGACCTCACATTTTTTTTCAAAGACATACAGATATCCAATACATACATGAAAAGATGCTTGACATCACCAATAATGAAGGAAATGTAAATCAAACAAAATAAGATATGAACCTACACCTGTCAGAATAGCTGGTATCAAAAAGACAAGAAATAGCAAGTGTTGGCAAGGATGTGGAGAAAAAGGAACTCCCCTGAACTGATGATAGGAATGTAAATTGGTGCAACCACTGTGGAAAACAGTATGGTGTTTCCTCAAAAAACTAAAAATAGAAATACCATACAAGGCAGTAATACACATTGGTTATTTAACCAAAGAAAACAAAAACACTAATTCAAAAATATATATGTACCTTTATGTATAATGCAGCTTCATTTACAACAGCCAAGGTATAGAAGCAACTTAAGAGTCCATCAACAGATGAATGGATAATGTGATGTATGTATGTATGTTTGTGTGTGTGTGTGTGTGTGTGTATATATATATATATGTATATATACATATACATATATATATACACATATACATATATATATAACATAATATTATTCAGCCCTTAAGAAGAACAAGATCTCACCATTTTCAACAACATGGACCTAAGTGTATTATGCAAAGTGACACATGTCAGACAGACAAATACCATATGATTTCACTTACATGTGGAATCTAAAAAAAAAAACCAAAAAACAAAAAACCTGAACAAACCAAAAACAGAAACAAAAACAGACCCACCAACACAAAGAACAAACTGGTGTTTGCCAGAGAGGAGGGAAGTGGCGATGTGTACAAAAGGTGAAGAAGAGTGGGAGACACAGGCTTCCAGTTATGGAATGTATAATTCATGGGGATGAAAGGTAGGGCATAGGGAATACAGTCAATGGCATTGTAATAGTGTTGAAAGATGGTACCTACACTTGTGATGAGTAAAGCATAATATATGGAGTTGTTAAATTACTGAATTATACACCTGAAACTAATTTAACATTGTGTATCAACTATACTTCAATTTAAAAAAGGAAAAGAAAAAAGCTTTAAAAAAAGAAAAATTTCCCTTAAGCAAAATTCCCCAAATGCACTTTCAAATCATTAACAACAGCTGAATACTATATTCCTACCTGCAAGAGATCATGGGAACATGAATATTTTGGCCTAGAATAGGGGAAGGCAAAGAAAAATGGGTTCAGAAATGGGTTTTTAGTAGTCATTTCTCTCTGCTTCCTATTGTTGCTGTAACAAATTACAAAAAAATTGTGACTTAAAAACTCAAGTTTAATATTTTACAGTTCTAGAAGTCAGAAGTCTAAAATGGGTCTCACCGGGCTATATTTAAGGTAGGGCTGCATCCCTTTCTGTAGGCTCTAAGGGAGAATATATTTTTGCCTTATCTAGCTTCTAGTGCCTCCCTGAAGTCCTTCACTGGAGGGTCCCTTCCATCTTCAAACTCACCAAAGGCTGGCTGAGTCTTTCCTAAAACATCTCTCTGATAATGACTCTTATTAAGGGCTCTTGTGATTGCATTGGATTCACCTGGATTGTCTAGGGTAATCTAGTTTAAGGTCAGCTGATTATCAACTTTAATTCTATCAGCAACTTTAATTCTATCAGCAACTTTAATTCCTTTTTGCCACTTAACAAACTTGATACTCACAGTTCCAGAAATTACTTTGTGGGGCCATTATCCTTCTTACCATACTCCATTCTCTGCCCCCCCAAAGATCCATTCATTCCACATTAAAAAAAATATATTCAAGGTCCCCAAAGATTTCATCTCATTATAGTATCAACCCAGTCCATAATTTCATCTAAATCTCATCAACTCAAAAGTTCCAAATTTCACCAGTGACAACATCTAAATTAGGTATGGTTGGGACTCTAATTACCTATCCTGAGCATAATTCCTCTCCATCTGTGGACCAGTAAAACTAATTATCTGTTCTTCAAACTGTATAATGACAAGAGGGCATAGGTAACAATAGTTATTCCAGTTCAAAAAAAAGAAAATGAAAGCAGTCATATGTTCCAAGAAATGTAGAAATCCATGCAGGAAAACTCTATTTGCTTTCAAGGCCTGGGTTTGGAGCTCCACCCTCCAGGCTCCAGCTCTGTCTTATGAGCCATCTTTTGCATGAGAGGGTAGTACATGTTTTAGCTAAGCAGTTTTTTCAGTCGTTTCTTGCTTATATAATTGTGAAGTACAACAGGTTTCTTTTCTATCATTTTCTCTGTGCCTTCCAACTTATGCTGGTAATATTTCTGCCGGTATAACATTCTCAAGAACCTTTTGAGTCCCTTGTGTATGTCACAGGGATTTTCTCTCCTATACAAAGGGCTGCTTCAGAGTTCTTTGTTGGGTAATCTCATCTCTATTCCTGACTTGGGCTGAGATGTTTGGGATTTCCATGAAACACATGCCTAATCTCTTTAAAGAACCTGCTGCATGACTGAATAGTCTTACCTATTAATTCTTCCAAAGCACTATCAAAAGGTTGTCCTGTGACACCCTTGGCTTTCTCCCTAAAGCATGCTTTCCTAATAGTGACTTTCCTTTTTGAGCCCCTTTTGCCATTTGAATAGGCTGAGAATTTCCCACATGACCAAGTTCTAGTCCCTTTTTGCTTAACAGTTCTTCCCTCCATCTGTCTCATTACTCTCATATTTTATTATAAGCATCAAGAAGAAATGAGGTTGTGCCTCCAACTCCTTGCCTGGAAATCTCCTCAGTTAAATAACCAAGCTGATTATTTACAAGTCCTTCGGTAAAACTGCAGGACACAACTCAACCTAGTTTTCTGCTACTATATAACAAGGATTCTCTTTACTTTCCAATATCACCTTCTTCACCTCATTTCTTTCTGAGCGCTCATTATCAGTGACTTTAACATCCATATTTCTACCAGCATTCTCTTTACAAGGATTTAGGTATTCCGTAAGGCAACGTATATTTTCTCCACCATGCTCATTTCCTCCTGAGACGTTGATAGCAGAATTGTTAACATCCATATTTCTACTAACAGTCTGTCCAAAACAGTCTAGACTTTTTCCATCATGCTTTTCAAAATCCTTCCAGCCTCTGCCTTCCTTCCAGTTCCAAAACAACTTTCATGATTTTAGTTGTTACAACAGCATTCCACTCCCAGGTAACAAAACCTGTGGCATTCAGTGTTCAACTGCAGAAACAGAACCATTAGGAGATACAAAATGAAAGATTTGTTGCAAGGAAGTGACTTACTCAATTGTGAGAGCTGGCTAGGCAAGTCCATTATCTGTAGGGCAGGCAATTACAGGGCTGGCTGAAACTCTGGAGCACAAGCTGAAGCCACTGCCCACAGACAGAATTTCTTCCTCATCTGAGGGAAAACTCAGATGTGTTCTTAAAGCCTTCTGACTTATTAAATCACTCCTACACAGAACATCTGGGATATTCTCCCTATTTTAAAGTTAGCTAATTAGCAACCTTAATTCCATCTGAACCTAATTCCTCTTCACAGTATAGCATAACATCTTCACAGGTTCCGGGAATTAGGATGCAGATGTCTTTAGGGGGCCATTATTCTTCCTACGCACACCATTTTATAGCATTTCCAAAATTAAGAGGCTCCTGGAGGTTGAGATAAATTTTCTTTGGCTAACTAATAGTAATATACAATGTATTTTCTTTCAAATCCCTTAACAATAAGCACAATGTCATCATCCAAAGGCAAGTAGATACTGGCATATTGCGCCATCAAAAGCTCCACTAGGCCTAGAATTTGGAACTCATTTGAGAATTACTCTGCAATCCCAGGGGACAACTGTAAGCAATGTATTACTCCATACTAGAGTCTTTAGAGTATCTAGGAACGTCCTCAACACAGTCAATCTGGGTATCAGCAAATTTGCCCAGGACTCTTAACAGGATTGTAATTTAAGTTACATGTAAGTGACAACCCATAAGTCTTTTCAACATTAATTAATATGAGAAAGAAATCATAATAAAGATATACTTTCATGAGGTGACATATATATTTCAGAGTGAAAATCTGATTACAAGTGTGATTTTTTAAAAAATAAATAGCATGAAAATATATACATTGATGCCTATTAGTAAAAGAAAAATCCAAACAGAACTCAGAAGAAACTAGACATTAGTATATACAAACTGATTTCACCCAAAACTCACAAGGGGTTATACACAAGTTGTAGCTGTGTTACTAATAGAAACGAAAAGGATTCCAGTAATTTAAAAATGCAGTATGTTAAAAGGAATCAGACATTCTTATGTAATATCATATAGTCAGTAAAATACTTTCAAAATGAGAATTGTTTATTCTAAGAGGTTAATTTTCATATTATCCTTTAGGAATGAGTATGAAAATTTTAATCAGAAATGTGAATTTCCTGATATAAAATTTTTGCTGATTATACAATAATTGTAAAAATAATCATAAGACAACCAAGCCAACAAAGCAAAGTAAATTTACTATGGAAAATGGGGGGGGG